ACCCAGAGTTTAAAATATGTGCAATGATCTGACGGACAATATGTAACTGACCGAGCAGTAGGCGATGATCATTTATGAACGTAATAGTGGTGATAATAATAATAATAATAATAATAATATTACTATCATTATTATAAAATTATAACGACAATGATAACAATCGCATTAATAATAATGATGATAGTAACGATGATATGGCAATAGTAATAGTGATGATGATAATAATAATAATAATAATATTACTATCATTATTAAAATTATAACGACAGTAATAACAATCGTATTAATAATAACGATGATAGTAACGATGATATAGCAGTAGCAATAGTAATAGTGATGATGATGATAATAATAATAATATTACTATCATTATTAAAATTATAACGACAATGATAACAATCGTATTAATAATAATGATGATAGTAACGATGGTGTAGTAGTAGCAATAGTACGAATAATAGTGATTGTGGTAACAGTAGTAGTTAATAGTAATTCGTAGTAATAGCAAATAGTAGTGATATCGTTATGACCGATGAATGATTGATCTTGATAAGGATTCACGATGATGATGATTATTATTATTATTTGTATTATAGTATATTGACAATAATATAACATGTAACAACGACCGGATATGTCGAGCACCAAAGAAATTACGCGTGTTCTGAACGAGTCGTTACGCGTTCGAATCGGACAGTTGCGAGCACACTTGGGAACAACGGATGGATTTGGTAATATTAGGGATACCGTTTGACCACCACGGTGATCGTCGCCGAATGGCGCGCGTTTCAAACGCGCGGAAAGTGACAAAGTGAAGAAGAGTACTCTGTCGTCGCGGCATTCATGGTAACGCGATGATTCTCTCCTTCGTTGAAATTATGACATCGGTACATTCAGCACAGAAAGACGTTTAAACGTGTAAATTTCGACCGGGCAACGCTTTCAAAACGCGAAGAAAGTGACGTTGTTAACACGTTCCGTGCCACGTGTACCAGCATATCTCTAATAATATTACCACAAGTGGTACACGATGTGATAGCTACTCTAAACAAG